CCTCAAGGTATGTACCCTCTATTATGCACCACTGTCCAGGAATGGTTGTTCTTCCCAATCCCCCCACCCGCCGAGCGAAACAAAAAGAGGAAACGTTTGGCGGGGTTGCTGGGTCGCCCAGAAGACGTACACATCTGTCGAGGTTTGGAGAGGGAGGGGGGGGGTTGGGGTCACAAAACAAGCCTAGCAAGGACTACCGGTGATTCTTTCTGATTTGTGCAACTGTGCTGCCGTTGTGGTAGTCCCAATCTCTCTCTCTCCCTGTCCCTCTCTCCCTCTTTTCCCCCTTCCTTTCCGTTACTCCCTGTCGCTCCCGACCATAAACATGTCGTCTGGCTTGCTCCCTTGCTCGGCATACAATGTCCACGGCAGGTGGATGAGATAGTGATGATCGCGGAGGACGTAATGGCCAACATGTTCAAGTGCATGGGCCAGGAAGACGACACGGTGGCCAAGGGAGTCCTCGAGGGAAAGGTGTGTGTGGTTCGTCGTGTGGTGGAAGGGCGATCAATTATTGTGAACGCATCAGTTTTTCGTTGGTATCTTGGATGCCTTTTGAGTCGAGGGTTTCGAATGATATAATGACATGTCGTCGACATTGTAAGAGAGGAACCGACGATGGCGGTTCGCATGCGGAATACCGTGCAGAGACTACGGAACCCGTACTGGACGGTACAACCAGCCGTTCCCATGGAAGTCTGTCCCAACAAGGTCCGTTCTCATTGACGGGTCCTTGCCGTGACCAATCACTGGCCGTTTTGCTGTGGTGACGATCTCGCTAACCTTTCCCAGCCCGTAATTTTCTCACCATGCCGTTCGTTTCTGACCGTACATGGTTGCTCGAATCCTGTCTGTCCCTTGGCACTAACAGATCAAGACCCTGGTAGGCATGCTTGTCGCCAAGCTTGCGGCTAACCCGTCCTCCAAGTTCTTCGTCGGCAACTCCCCCACCATCGCGGACCTCCAGGTGCGTGCGTGGACCCTTCCTCAGACTCTTCCTAACTGTTCCCAAACAGCTCGGCTTGTTCGAAAAAATGTCGATAGAATGCTCTGGGCTCTTCGTCCCGGGTCTTGTTGTGGTTGTTGATGTTGATACCGTTGTAGATCTCGCTTTCTTGCGCTTTACGATGTAATCTTTTAACGACCGCTCACCTCGACCCTTGCCGGAAGGCACCACAGCCCCTTGATTACACGCCGTTACGAAAACAATTATCACATGCCAACACGTGGCAATACATCAGGTCCGAAACTATTGTACATGGTCATGACTGTTGTGTACCCGTTGATCCCAAGCCCCTTCTCCGTACAAGTCCTCAGCGCGTGACGCACCGTAATTTGTTTTTCGTAGCTGCGCGAATGCACGTGGTGATCTTGATCGCCCAGGAGGTCTTCCCGCACAAGCCCCCCCCGCCCATCACCCCGGTTAACTGATGATTTCCATCTGGTATGTTTTTTGTTTGTTTGTGCAACCGCAGGTGCACGCCGTGATCAAGAACTTCGAAGCGAACTTCCTGACGGGTCTCCCTACGACGCACATCGCGGACACCGCCCCCACGCTCATGGAGATGCAGGCCGCTCTCTTGGAGGACCCCAAGGTACCGTTACCCTACGGTTGCTGTTTCGTAACGTTAGCTCTGCTCCTGTGCTGTTGGCACCGTTGTTATCGCGCCTTACTGTAGGTGCACTGTCATGGAAGCGCCCTCCCGGCCTTGAGGGTTAAGCGCCAAGAGTCGAGCAAACAACACAAGCCAACGCGCCGAACGCCCGAGGTCTTCACCGTCGAAAGCATTCGCATTCTTCGTCTCACCCCCCCCCCTCCCATCATCCCTTCTTCCCTCCCTGACCAAAACACTCAACCAACAACAGGTGAAGGCGTACTACGCTTCCAAGGCGTGAACATACACCGGATGATAACAGGAAAGGGCTTCACCCACTCGCGACAGATGGCATGGCCGAGGACATTTGAGACTCCCGCGGATGCGGCATGTACACAGCACATCTCTGTGGTTGATCTTTTCCTTGACGATAGTGGTACATACAGTAGTCATATCTTGACGCCGTCCCTTCCGTGTGCAGTTGGGGGTTGCTGTGGGGTAGGCGATCCGAAGACCCTGGGTGTGATAACTTTAGGATTTTTGTGGAGCGTCATGTGCATTAGTTTGGCGTGGCGCGAAGTGTCTGACCAGCCGCGGGCATTACGCACGATTCTGCTGGCGGCTTCCCGAGGACTTTGGTTCATTCGAGTTTGTCTGGAGATAGACGTGTGCGATTGAGAGCGAAAGCACTCATTTTTGCTGTTTGGTGTGACTATTCCATTGCTTTCGCAGGAAGCACCGGAATCGAATGTATGAGCGCACTCCGGCCTCCAAGGGTGTGTAGCTAGCTGTGACTCGATACATAACCCTGTAGGCCGTTCTTTGTCGTATTTCTGACGATGTAGGTCAGCATTGTGTTGATTGAGCGTTCTTGTGGTGTTTTTCGTTCAGCCACTAGGATTACATGCATGCATGCGGTTTTGGGCGATGATGCACGAGCTTTTTTGGAGTGGATTGGTTGACGCAGGGAGAGACCTACAGTAGGACGAATCCGGTGACAGTGTGGTCTGAGGACTCTGTGTGCTCGACTTGCCTCTCAACATCTGAGTACAAAGCCAACGCCACGGCTGTGGACTGTAGTGTTTTCTTGTTGTTGCGCAGAGGCAAAGGCCGAAGGACGTCGTCCTTCGGCCTTGTGTCTTGCAAGTGGTAAGTATTTCGGAGGTCAAATGATGTACATACATAGTCGGAGTTGTTCGTGGACACGCGGCTCAGGCATACATAAACAACCTTGAGCCGTACATGAGAGTATGGGGCCAGAGGACTGGCCGGCGAGGGATTTTCCATTTCCGGCTCCTCCTTGCGTTGTGTTGACTGACGCTCCTACCTTTCCAAGTGGGCGAAGGAGGTTTTCCTGCTGCGATTGTCTCGATTGTCTTAGGCATTGGTGGGTGCCCACTGGATGAGTCGTGGGGGTTCATGCATGAGGTAGTCGAGATAATTGGGTTGGTTTCAAGCGTGCCAAGTATGACAAACTTGAGGGAACGGCCGTGGTTGTATGTACAGTACGTGGGGGTCGCTTCGGGACGAAAGCAAGATTCCTGTTTTCTACGCGGGTGACTAAAAACATGTTTTTTTACTGCTACAGGAAACTACTATGTTGGCTGACGAGGAGGCGAAAGAATGCGGTCAATGCACCCTGCTGTGGCCGGTGGAAACTGCGTGAGCCCGGAATGTATGAACGCTACGACCAGCATGTTGTCGGGTGTCGGGAAACAATCGTTCGTGCATGCTGATCACGTCGTTCTCTTCGGAGGTTGAAAGCATGTCGTTCTCTTCAAGTTTCACAAGCATGCTGTTCTCACACGTTCACCCTTCATATATCTTTCCAAGGTCGAGAAACGAACGCTTCCTGGCCCTGATGTTCCCCAAAGAAAGTGTCGTCGCTCGGACGAACGAGAAGATCCTAACCCTAAGAAACGAACCTGGAAAACACGAAGAGCGAAGCGCAGCAAAGATTACGGAGGAAATGACAGCAGGGAGAAACGCTGAAATTGCAGAGCTACAAGTAAGCCATTCGAGCATATTATCAGAGGAGCAAAATTACAACCACGCCAGAGAGACGTAACCGTCAACCTTCTCCGCTCAAGTTTTGCCGCATTGCTCTTAAAAATTGGGTCGGGTCCACAAATTGATCTCAACAGATTGGGGCCTTTATGAGAGGACTTGTTTGGTGGAACGTGGATCGTGGATGGTTGGAAACTAAGTCTAGTCTATTGAAGGTAGGTCTGGGTTGCATTGCGATGCCTCTATAGAAATCTGCTATCGTCATATCCACGTGACCATATCTTACTGAACACAGTGGACCCCCCGGGATCGGCGTACGTCCACACGTTAGTACGGTGTGCCCGACTGTGAAGATACTTCGTCTATTTCAGTTGGTTGGACGTTCGACAGAAAATACAACAATAATGTGAAGACAACAACAACAACAACAACAACAACACCGGTGGGTCCGGTGTATAGACTATACCGTTTCTCCCCGATATTTTTGTCGTTGACCCCGTTGATAGAAAACACTACGGGGGAAATGTCGTGAGGTAATTGTATCTATTCAGTGATTTTGTGATTAGCACCTGCTGGCACCACTGACGGGAATTTTTCAGTGTTTAGCCCTAATAGACTCAAATAAGCCCAGTACCCAGCCGGTTTCCCTCCATTCACAGTAGAGACTTCCTTCTGTGTTTGTATTTATGTTTCCTTATATACCCGGGGCGTCTTCCTAAGAACGAGAGAACGTCCGAGGAGAGAGAGAGAGCAAAGATTGGCATGATTACTGTAAGATTTCACCCCAAACTTTCACCCCCTTACCATAGAGTGTGGCTGTTGATGCTTGACCTAGAACACGTTGCAAGCCCAATGCAGACTACTATTCATCGAAGCGATGAGAGATCATATATCCACGTTTTGATAACCTGCCACAATTCAGGTGCATCCCATGCTGCCTAATCGCAGTATGACGTAACGCATGACCACGCGAATGACGCTGTCATGATGATCAGCGTGACAAAAAGGCCCTGGTGGTCCATTCTTCCAGCACTGACTGTCACCACGCTGGACTACTAACGAACCATGCGTGTTTTCTCTGTGATCATAGTCGCGTACAACGCACATCGCCCATGTCACGTACTCCATAGTACGACGCCACCAAACGACACGCCAATTGCACCTCTCTCTCATGTGCGTCATACCCCACGTAAAACAAGCAAGACATAAGACCGGTAAGAGTAGTCGGGGAGACAGATCGCCGATGGCCCGGGCGGATGAAAAAAAAAAGAAAAGAAGCAAGTTGTTTCCCCCGCGGGGAAAAAAATGCGAAGAGAGCGGGACAAAAGAAAAAGTTGCCCGGGAAAAACGATCGTCGCGCGTTCCCCACACACCGCACACACGCTCACTCACAAGCACTTCCACTCTTCTCTCCCAGCAGTCCTTCAGCTCGAGACCGACCACACCCACCCATCCCTCTCCACAGGTATGTATGCGAGACAGTACAATACTCTTGCTCAGAGACCGCGTAGCATTAACCAGCAGCAGGTCAGATACGTACACGCTGCACTTGTACACAGTCGTAGGCGGTGTGCATCTCCGATTCTCTCTGATCGCCATCGCGTGGGGTCGGTTTCGCTTTCGTGCATTTACATGAAGCGTCCATGGATTTGCGATAGGTCTCGACCTCTTGTTTTTCCGAAAGCTGCGCATACAGCAAGCAAGAGGGCCGTCAGATCTTTGGTGGTCGTACGTATGGATCCATGACGGAAGATACCACTCCTCCACACAAGATCAATATTGGGATAGGACAGCCATTTCCCGCACAAAAGGCGTGTGTTTGGTCGACATGCCGAGATGGCAACAATAACAAGCCCATGAAAGTACCCAATTCACCAATCAATGTCGCCAGGGTGGACGTAGCAACAATTCGTGTGCTGTGTACCGTGTGTATGTTCTGGGGTGTAGATGTACTGTGCTGTACATTGGCGGGCGAACAACGAGAAGGACGGGTGAACATTGCAGTCAGTAGGTACACAAACACACAGCACCAAAGAGGACAAGCCCAGATACCTTGGGAATCTATCGGCAGGTTGCGTGTGTACCAGGCTAGGTGTCGTCGTGTGGTACTCGTTGTGTGCTACACCAACTGCTACGATCCCGATTCATCGAAACCGCTCTTCTTTCAGATATTTCTGCCTCTCGTCGAACTCCTTGTATGTAACACCCCTGCGCTCTTCCTCAAGTTCTCGCTCTCGCTCTCGCTCCCTCTCGGTCCGTCCCTCTTCCCAACGCCGTTGTCTCACATCACCCGGTTTGCGTTGTCCTGTCCGCCACCTCTAAACAATTAACACGACACAGAAATCAAAGACAACAAGAAGAATGCCTTCCACCGCCACCCTCAACTACTTCGGACTCCCCGGCCGGGGTGAGGCTACCCGCGTCGCGCTCGCCTACGCCGGGAAGGATTTCGAGGACAACCGAATGGGGTTCCCTGAGTACGGTGCCTGCAAGTGGGCGGGCAAGGGTCTGCCTGTCTTGGAGGTGAGACAGACACCTGAGCTACAGCTTCCGTACAGTCGGTCGAACGTGGATAGACTGTACTACAGTCTATGCTTTGTGATTTCCACAAGTTGTTGGCTCCACATGTACAAGTAGGCTGCCTGCTTGTCTCTTCGTTTCCTTGCATAAAAGACCATTGAGTGAGCATTTCACCATCATCGCGTACTGAGTCGATTATGTGTGTTGTTTGGTTTTCACGACACGAGCGGAAGGACTGACAAAACACAATTCTGAGTCTGTTGTGACAGAATCCTCATTGGGGAGTAGCGGCCAAAGAGTGGCCGCATGTACTTCAAACAATAGCTCATGTCATACCCCATGCACAAAGGCGAGCATGGCAGGTTTCGTAGACCTCATCGGTCATTCAATGGCATTTTCACGTCTTTCATTTGCACAATTGCGGTGTGGGTGGAGCGCGACACGGAGTTCTGTGATGGTTGTTACGCATGGCCACCGCGTAGTGTGCACATCCCCCCAACGGCGGGTAAGCGTGGGTCACGCATGGTGACAAGGCCGCGGCCATCGTCCCCCCCCCCTATACCCGGCCACATCGAATCGCTCAGATGGACGGCACGAGAAATTTGCACGTGCTTTGCCCGAGTTCCTCTTGTACTCCGCCATCGCCCTGAGATACCGCCTTTCCCCCCCCCCCCTCCCCATTGCACACATTTTTCTGCACCTGAAAATCGTCATCAGATGGACGATGCCGAGTACACCCAGTCGACCGCCCTCCTCCGGTATGCCGGCAAACTGGGAGGCCTGTACCCCGACGACGCGCTCGCCGCCCTCAAGGTATGTACTCTCTATTTTGCACCACTGTCCAGGAATGGTTGTTCTTCCCAATCCCCCCACCCGCCGAGCGAAACGAAAAGAGGAAACGTTTGGCGGGGTTGCTGGGTCGCCCAGAAGACGTGTGCTCCGCCGATACCGTAACAGCAAGGATTGACAGCTGCATTTTCTTACACATCTGTCGCGGTTTGGAGAGGGAGGGGGGAGGTTCGGGTCACAAAACAAGCCTAGCAAGGACTACCGGTGATTTCATTCCGATTTGTGCAACTGTGCTGCCGTTGTGGTAGTCCCAATCTCTCTCTCCCTGGCCCTCTCTCTCTCTTTTTCCCCTTCCTTTCCGTTACTCCCTGTCGCTCCCGACAATGAACATGTCGTCTGGCTTGCTCCCTTGCTCGGCATACAATGTCCATGGCAGGTGGATGAGATAGTGATGATCGCGGAGGACGTAATGGCCAACATGTTCAAGTGCATGGGCCAGGAAGACGACACCGTGGCCAAGGAAGTCCTCGAGGGAAAGGTGGGTGTGGGTTGTCTGATGAAAGGATTATCAACTATCGTGAACGCATCAGTTTCTTGTTGGCATCTTGGATGCCTTTTGAGTCGAGGGTTTCGAATGGTGTAATGACATGTCGTCGAGATTGCAAAAGAGGAACCGACGATGGCGGTTCGCATGCGGAATACCGTGGAGGGACTACGGAACCCGTACTGGACGGTACAACAACCGTTCCCATGGAAGTCTGTCCCAACAAGGTTCGTTCTCATTCACGGGTCCTTGCCGTGACCAATCATTGGCCGTTTTGCTGTGGTGACGATCTCGCTAACCGTTCCCAGCCCGTAATTTTCTCACCATGCCGATCGTTTCTGACCATACATCCTTACTCGAATCCTGTCTGTCCCTTGGCACCAACAGATCAAGACCCTGGTAGGCATGCTTGTCGCCAAGCTTGCGGCTAACCCGTCCTCCAAGTTCTTCGTCGGGAACTCCCCCACCATCGCGGACCTCCAGGTGCGTGCGTGGACCCTTCCTCAGACTCTTCCAAGTTGTTCCCAAACTACTCGGCTTGTTCGGAAAAATGTCGATAGAATGCTCTGGGCTCTTCGTCCCAGGTCTTGTTGTGGTTGTTGATGTTGATACCGTTGTAGATCTCGCTTTCTTGCGCTTTGCTATGATTTCTTTTAACGACCACTCATTTCGACCCTTGCCGGAAGGCACGAAACCCCCTTGATTACGAAAACAATTATCACATGCCAACACATGGCAATACATCAGGTCCGAAACTATTGTACATGGTGATGACTGTTGTGTACCCGTTGATCCCAAGCCCCTTCCCCGTACAAGTCCTCGGCGCGTGACGCACCGTAATTTCTTTCTCGTAGCTGTGCGAATGCACGTGGTGATCTTGATCGCCCAGGAGGTCTGCCCGAACAAGCCCCCCCCGCCCATCACCCCGGTTTGCTGATGATTTCCATCTGGTATGTTTTTGTGTTTTTGTGCTACCGCAGGTGCACGCCGTGATCAAGAACTTCGAAGCAAACTTCCTGACGGGTCTCCCCACGACGCACATCGCGGACACCGCCCCCACGCTCATGGAGATGCAGGCCGCCCTCTTGGAGGACCCCAAGGTACCGTTACTCTACGGTTGCTGTTGCGTATCGTTAACTCTGCTCCTGTGCTGTTGGCACCGTTGTTATCGCGCCTTACTGTAGGTGCACTGTCATGGAAGCGCCCTCCCGGCCTTCAGGGTTAAGCGCCAAAAGTCGAGCAAACAACACAAGCCAACTGCGCCGAACGCCCGAGGTCTTCACCGTCGAAAGCATTTGCATTCTTCGTCTCACCCCCCCCCCTCCCCCCCTCCCTTCCCCCCTCCCTGACCAAAACACTCAACCTATCACAGGTGAAGGCGTACTACGCTTCCAAGGCGTGAACATACGCCGGATGATAACAGGAAAGGGCTTCACCCACTCGCGACAGTTGGCATGGCCGAGGACATTGGAGACTCGCGCGGATGCGGCATCTACACAGCACATCTCTGTGGTTGACCTTTTCCTTGACGACAGTGGCACATACGGTAGTCATATCTTGACGCCGTCCCTTCCGTGTGCAGTTGGCGTTAGCTGTGGGGTAGGCGTTCAGAAGACCCTGGATGTGATAACTTTAGGATTTTTGTGAGGCGTGATGTGTATTTGTTTGGCGTGGCGCGAAGTGTCTGGCCAGCCGCGGGCATAACGCACGATTCTGCTGGCGGCTTCCCGAGGACTTTGGTTCAATGTGGTACGGGATAGATACACTTGTACACATGCTTATAGTGCGTGGCTGTCCCATTGTGCTGGGAATTGTTGATGAAAGTGTGTGAGCGCCCTTCAGTCCCCAGGGTGTACCTCGATGTATACCCCGATACCCAATGTCGCGGTTGTTTTGAGTGCACGCAGCGATTTTGTCGCCGTTCTGTCCCTTCAAGCAGCACGAACGCAAGGAAGGGGGGTCGATCGGGGTTCAACTCACAGTGGAACAAAATATACAATACCCACAGGCACCCACATACAGGCTGGCAGTACGTTTGAGGATTCGGTACCATTCCGCACCGTTCCCTTTCTCTCGCAAGCTTGAAACGAAGGGGTGTTGAACGTGAGGGGTACTATCGAGGTGGTCGAGAGCGGCAAAGGGTGACGACGTCCATCGGCCTTGGATTGGAAGCAATATCGGACGGCCACTACGTAGAATTCTGTAGTGACGTAAAGGTTGCTTCGTGAACACGAAGCACCAACTAGTCAAGCACTGTTTTTGTCTGCTGGCTGCATCGGCGAGAGGCACCGGATGAGGCGGCTGGCGAGGAATTCTGCTCTCTCTCCCCCTTCGTAGCCCTTTTCTGCTATCTCCAAGTTTGTCGATTCATTGATTCTGATACTGTCGTATGCTTCTTTTTGTCGGTGACGGAGTGAATTGAGTGAATTGATTTCGTCGTGTCTACATAATGATGAGGGAATGAATGACTGGTAGTGTCTCTGTGTGTTTGCACGTCGGATGACACTTGCGAAGTTGTCCTGATGGGGATGTACGTGGTAGTCGGTGTGGAATGAACAAGATGTTTGCTGCACGCAGGCGCGTGGTTGTTGAAACCAAGGCTTTTTGTGTGTCGACGGACATGCTCATGTCAGTCTCGCTCGGGGAGGTCCGTTGTTTATTTCGTTGTTGTGGTCCGAGAGAGATCCGTTGAGCCTTCCTTGCTCAACGCCGTATCCCGCATGTTGTCGATGTCATGTTTCTTGTTGCTGTTGTGGTCAGACGTGGATGTGCGGAATTCTGAGAAAGTATCGTAGACTCATATTTCAGAACGATAGAAGGCCGTAAGGCCTACGCGCGATGATCGATGGGGCTGGGACGAGGAATGAAAACATCCAAGGATTATATTCGGACTTTGCTCCCTTGACGGGTTATGATGAATCAAAGATACATGGAAACATGGGGACTATTTGCATATTGCTTGATTCAAAAGTTGGGAACGGGTTTAGTGGGTGCAATGTTCTAGCCGGCGACGAAATGGCTTGGGCGTATTTTGTTTTCACTGTTGGAATACTCAATGTCAGTCATTAGTACCGATAAGATTGTAGTTTTATTTTTTCACTGCAGCAGAGCAAATATGAATCGAGCCACATAGATTCAAAATACCATGGGAGTGGCGCGTCAAGGACGTGTCATCTTACTGACGACCCAGGTGAACGTACCGGAGAAATTATCCAGCCGCCGAGATCAAGTCAAAGTGATCTCAACGAGCTTAGACACTGTTTCTCGATTGGATGTTATGTCATTGCTCCCGACATTCTTATCCATGAAGAAGGCATGAACCTACAGTCCACCTGGTTGGATACAGAAGAGAACTTTCGGTCTCCTCCAAAGCATGTTCTACCGCGACAATGAACCAGCATGCTTTCCAGGCGATGGCAAAAGAGATCAAATGAATCCACTGTAGTTTGTGGGCCCGCAGCACTCTCGTGTCGACACCACAGTCGAAGAGAGACGTGGGGATGGCGACAGAATGGATGCTTCTCCTGGTGTTTACCGTTGTCGCCTTCGCACAATCGTGTTGAAATCGGTCAACACGTGGAACTGGTCTTGATGAGGCGGTTTGCTCGAGGGTAGTACGCACGAGTTGGCAATATTAGCGATTGCCGAACTATGTAGTGACTTCGATGGGAAAGTCTTGGAGTGACTGTTGTCCCTGGTGTGTAAATATTTCATTTTTCGCTGGTGTGTGGTAACAGCAACCGGGATGCCAGCCGCCTACTCACTCTCGCTACTTTTTTGTAAGTGTGGAACGCGGGGCACGGGGCACGATGAAATATTAGTACTGCAACAACAGCAACAACAACTATTTATGCCTTGAGTGACTCTAGGCAATGGAGGATCCACTCCCTTCGCTGTTATTCATTGGCTCCATATACCATTTCCCCCCGGCCCCGCTACCCACCTCCCTCGGCGCTCTTGGCCATTCATCCCCACGTTTTCTCTCTTGGGCTGGTTGTTGTTTGACGTCACCATTCATTGTTCAGCTAATCATATAGTCAGTCTTGTGTTCAAGTTGCGGGTTCCACCGTACCAGTACAACTCTTTCCGGCAACGTGTTACTGTTGTCTACTCCACGCGATGTCCGAGGCTTCTTGCCCCTGACTCTCGTTTCTCATCGTGAAAAACATGTTGTATGTCTTGTCTGCATGCATCTCAAGCAACCATCGAAAAAATTCACCAAACGATGGGCATACAACACGGAAAGTTCGTCTGGGTTGCGGTGCGATGGCTCCGAACAAATACAATCTACTATCGTATCCATGTAATTGTATGTGTTCTGCCCCGGACCACGCGTGTCTGTGCGTGATGGCTTGATTGAAGATAGCCAGTTGGTAATTTTCGGAAAATCTGTGAACCTCTTTTTCTGCAGTTCCTTGCATGCACGTTGTCGCCACACTCAAAAGCGAGGAAACAGGCGAAGCTACGGATGCTTGCTGCAGTCAAACTGAGTTGACGTTGAGAGAGTATATCCACGTTCGACACCTTACTACGGCAGCAGTGGTCACAGGTGCACCCCGCACTACCCTGGTCGCATCATATGACGTGATCGGCCGGAGAAGGAATGATATGACATCAATGATAAATGCCCCGCTGACTTATTCTTTGTTCCGGCACTCTGGCTGCTCAATTGCCCAGGAACAGGGTCGACCAAAATTGAAGTAGGGAAGACCAGGCGAGGTTTCTCTGCTATCATCGTGGGTTTAGTCAATACCCCGTACCGCCCATCGCATGGGGAATATGTCTAAAGCACGAAGTTCATCTGAAAGAGAGAAGAGGAGGAACAGGAGAAAAATAGCAGAAAATTGGTCGGGCGAACAAGAAGAGAACGGCAATGGCGCGAGCGGGTGAAAAAATGCAGCGAAATTTTTCCCGCGGGGCAAAAAGAACAAGCTGCCCGAAATAGCGATCGGTCTTGCACCCGCACCCACACCCACACCTCCAAATCAACTCTCCCAGCAGCTCTTCAGTTACAGGCCGACCACACCCAACCATCCCTCTCCAGGTGTGTATGCCAGCTGGTGCAGTTCACGCACTTACTGACACCGTCGACAGCGCGACAGGGACGTATGGTTGGTGTTGTACCGTAGAGCACACATCCACCCTGAGGGCTATCCTTCACAACAAATCCGGGCTACGACGTCGCTCGTCCTACCTGACCACAATCACTTTGGGGTCGCTCGTGCTTGCTTTCGTGATTCTGTCGCGTGCACGCGTTGGCTGCAGTGTGTAGCGCGTTTACCTCCTGTCACAACGTACTGCCGTTGCCGTTGCTCGTGTGTACCTGTGCATGGCACAAGAAGCAGTAGATGTCACGCACGCATCTTCTTTCGTCCGCAGTTCTTTCGTCCAGCGGATATGTACGCATAGATGACGCGAGAATGCACAACCTTGCACCCACCTAAGTTCGCTACTGGGATGTACATGCGACAATCATGCCCCACACGAACGGTTTGTGATCGACACGCCGAGATGGAAGTTGCAGTGGTTCATCGGTGACGTATGGGTGGCGGCAGTGATGGACTACTTCACTGCACAGTTGTCGAGCTGTACTGCTGTACACACAAGTGATGCGGGATCCTACATGTTTACCTTTGGCGAGACAAGCCCTTGCACGCTACGAACCTCGGGGAAAACTGTGCACAGGCGTATGTTGCTCGCTCGAGCTAAAGAACGTGCAGCGTGCGTGTGCCTGGCTAGACATGTGGTACAGGATGTGTTCTCGCAGTTGCGATCCCCTTTGATCAGCAACTCTTCTCTATGATAATTTCCGCGCTATTACAGCAGTACTTGGAAACAATACTACCCTGACGCAACGAGCTCTTTCCTCTCTCTCTCACTCTTGGTCTCTTCATGCACTTCCGCCATTTTGCCGCCCCCGCCTCCGTATGCTTGTTCCTGCCCCGCAAATCACTTCTGGACCAACGTACACGAAAAAGATTCAACGACAAGAAGATGCCTTCCACCGCCACCCTCAACTACTTCGGACTCCCTGGCCGGGGTGAGGCTACCCGCGTCGCGCTCGTCTATGCCGGGAAGGATTTCGAGGACAACAGAATGGGGTTTCCTGAATACGGTGCTTGCAAGTGGGCGGGCAAGGGCCTGCCTGTCTTGGAGGTGAGACAGACACCCGAGCTACAACTTCATGTAGTCGGTCGAGCGGTAGCGCATTATGTACCCGCAAGTGGCGGGCTCCACATTTCGTTTTCTGCCCGTCTCTTCGTTTCACTGAAGGCAGGCCTTGGTGCTTGGATCACGCTTGGTCATAAGCCCCGAGCCCTGCGCCCGACACTCCCAGCCATGCTAGGAGCTGAGGTAAACGGGGTCCTAACTGATACCCCCCCCCCATGTCGCATCTTGTCAAAAACCTGAAACCACCATCAGATGAACGGTTTCGAGTACACCCAGTCGACGGCCCTCCTTCGGTATGCAGGCAAGCTGGGAGGATTGTACCCGGAGGACGCCCTCGCCGCCCTCAAGGTATGTACACTCTAGAATATAATTTATCGTGCACATCGACAAGGCTTCTCGTATCCTGACAGCCCCCCTCCCCCCGAATGAGAGAGGGGCGGGTAATTGTATTGTAGTACTTGTAGAATCGAACAAGTGATTTTGAAGTTCAGTATTCTAATGGTTTAGGTTCACCAAGAAAGCGTGTGTACCGCCTTTGCCCAGACAACAAGGATCTTGACAGCCGTGACTATTGAGAGTGTGGAGAACGAGTTTGAGAGAGCACACACGCAAGCATGATGAGAGCCATCCAAATCGAATGCGCGTCGAAAGCAGATAGCAGCCATGGTAAACGCGTGCTGTATTCTTCTCTTGTTGCTACGGTATCTGTCTTTTAACCTTGAGCGTAGCGTAGACTTCCCCACGACGCTCCGTCCCAGGGTCCCAGATCTTGGCCTTTAGAAGTGTTTTTTGTGGTTTCCACCGCACTGACACTGAAGTATTTTTGTGGTACATAGTCTAAGCCCTCCCCCTCCGATCTCCCTCTATTCCTCTATTTCCTCTCTCTCTTTTTTCTCTTCTTTCCCTTCCTCTCTGTCGCACTCAGCACTTATTCGCTCGTCTCCCTTGCTCGGCATACGTGTATACATGACCACTGCAGGTGGATGAGATCGTGATGATCGGCGAGGATATTATGGCCAACATGTTCAAGTGCATGGGAGAGAAGGGCGACACCGTCGCCAAGGGAGTACTCGACGGAAAGGTGGGTGTGGGTCGTGGTGTGGCGCGAGGTTTAGTGGTGAAGACATCAGTGCATCGGTAGCATCATGGACACTTGAATCGAGATTGTTTCGTGTTGTGGACGACATCGTCAACATGCCATCAAGAGGCAATGAAGACTGCGGTTTCGAGTGCGGAACATTGATCACAGCGTAGAGGATGCGGAACACGTACGGGACGGAACAACAAACCGGTACCTGGAAGCCTGTTGTCCGTTCTCAATGCCGAACCTTATCGTGACATTTCAACAGCCATTTCCCTGTGGTAACGATTACGCTCGCCTTCCACAGCCCGTTTTATCTCACCATGCCGATCGTTTCTCGTCCCTGACCATGCCATCCTGACTCGAATCCTTTCCTTTC